AGTAGGAGACATCTTGTGTCCAGCAGGAAAACTTTATTTACAAATTCATAGATTTTTAAAGAGGTAGAAGTAGATTTATTTATAAGGATTTTAATGTGGAAATTGTACTTTTTTGTGGAAAAAAGCAGAGTGTATTATGTCTTATTACATGACTTGAGGGGATCTTTAAATAAAGACAATAAGACTCTTCAGGCACTAAACACAGTGTCGCTGAGTCTGATCTGATTTTAAATTACATTTAAGCGACCTCATAGTTTCAGTATTTTGATTGTATAATGTTATCAAATGAATTTTTGTTTTAATTACAGAGATTTCTCTTCACTAGAGAGAGTTTGTGTAACACCTGTGGTTAGCGTACCATAGTTTGAGAACCAGTGATCTAGACACAAAAACACAAACATCAACCTCATGGTGGCTTTAACTTTAACAAACTTTAATGGTTGTTGAGATATTTAAGTCTGGATCAAAGTGGTGGACCGACCGACCGACCAAAAGGCTGACTTTGAGATCTGTAGAGCCATGGCTAAAAAACAAAAACGTGTCATAGAAGCAACAAGCTGAAGACATTAGAAAAATGACAAAATTAGTTTCCAAACTCAAAAGGCAACCATCTGAGAAAAGTTCAAGGGTATGTAAAATGATCCCATTGGTGTGACCTGCTGCCAGATTGTTGCAGGTTGTTAGATCTGATTTGTTTCCAATTCATTTACCCTCGATGTGAAAACTTCCAGAGGACAAGCACAAGTTTTTGACTTAATGAACCAAATGTTTGATGGGTCCAGGTGAGAGAATTACACCAGGGAAAGCCCTCGCCGATCCATTCATCACAATGAGCCACCTCATTGACTGTACCAGTACAGCTGCCAGTAAGTGTGTGTGAATGTGAGACTAATTAGGTCATTACTGCTTTGCATAGGTCTGCAGATAAGAGAAGGGGGCTGTGAATGATGTGTTGATGATCTGCTGATTGGTTGATTGATTGGCAGCTCTGCTTGCTGACAGTGGGTGTCTCTGCTGCCAACGTGGGTCGGTTCAACGGCGGCACTGTGGATGTCAACACCATTAACAGCAACAACAATGAGACTGACTGGACCGAGCATCACCCCACATCTTTTGACCAAGACAGAACAGGCTTCAGCAGAAAAACCACAGCTCTTACCCGTCTCTTACAGTGTTGTATAATGTCCACGCTTTGCTGATCTGCTGATCACCAATTTTCTTACATTTGTTGTTCTATAATGTGGGCGTTGTGAAGCCTTTTGAGACTGTAACTGTGATTAAGAGCTATACAAATAAACTTGGACCAGGCCAGCTCAGAAAATGGCTTTAGTTAACTCGCAGTGGGAGCAGTCACAGGTACGCAGCGTGCATTTTAATCTTAGGGAAAACTACTGTATTCAATTGTCCGGCAAATTTGATGAAGCAGAAGCTGTTAACAGCATATGCCTTTCATCAGGGCACAAGGAGTGCCCTGCTCACCTCCATAACACAGACAATTTCCCTGTCATGGTCACAAACCTGGAAGATGCTGCTACTGAAGAGGAAAGTAATTCCCATCCTTATAGGTAAGATTGCCCCCCCCCCCCC